CCTGGCAGGTGTTGCTCAGTGGATGAGCATCGACCTATGAACCAGGAGGTCAGGGCTGATTCCCCGTCAGGGCACATGCCCAGGTTTCAAGCTCTATTCCCAGTGTGGGGCGTGCAGGAGGCAGCCCATCAATGATTCTTTCTTATCATTGATGTTTCTATCTCTCTCTCTCTCTCCCCCTCTCCCTTCCTCTTTGAAATCAATAAAAATATATTTTTTAAAGTAGTCCAGGGCCAAAGACAAGAGGACTCTTTGAGACATTGAGACTTTCTACAACAAGCATGCCAAACTCGCGGCCCCCAGGCCTCACACGGCCCACAATGAATATTTGTGCGGCCCAGCCAATGTAAAGGTATGTAAGAAACGTTTTAATAAAAATTTCCTAACTTCATTTTTACAATATCCTGTTATACACAATTATTAATAACGAACTACAATGTTCGCTAATGACTGATGACTATAATCATGTTGCATTCATTTCCCTTACTCGCCTTACGCACAGGCGCACCATTTCTCTCCACTAATACTAGCAGCAAATATTTTAGCAGCCGATGGCCACGTCATTAGTCTTGGACTGACTTGTTTGCTGTGAGCAACAGGAAATATTTCGCTTTTGGAGAACAAGAAAAATAGGTTTATTTGCATTACACTTATTAATCTGTGCAGTTATTCAGTGTCTGGTAAGGTAATGTTCAAGAAAAAATATTACTTTTTATTAAAATGTTCTATTATTTTACATTAACGATGACTTATTGATTTCAGCCCTTTGTGTTCAGCATGTCTCTATCGACATAAACCTACGTTTCTATGAAAATTGAAGCTTTTGCTGTTTTGCGGTCCACATAAGCTTAAACCTTGTTTATTTGGCCTTTGAGTTTGACTTGCTTGTTCTACACCTCCATCGAGGAGATGCCCCTCAATGTTGCTGACCTCATCGGAGAGGGGCTGGCCTGCTACCTCAGCCCAGCCAGTGTTCTCAGTCCTTGGCAGGCTGAGAAGGAGCAGGAGGGGGGAGGGAAGGGAGCCAAGGGATGGACATCTTGTCATTTTTTTTTCTTTTTCTTTTCTTTTCCCTTTGAATAAATAACACTTTTTGAGGCAAAAAATAAAATAAAATAAAATAACTAAAGTAGTCCACGGCCAAAAGCTGGAAGCCACCCAAGCGCCCCTCCATGGAGGGCTAGACAAACACAATGTGGTCCACCCAGACCATGGCCTAGTATGCAGCCTTAAAGAGGGCGGAAACTGACACATACTCCAACACACTACTGATTTGGAGGCGGTGCCTCACGGACCCAGAGGCTGGACCTGGCCTAGCACAAAGGCCGGCGGCCGCAGGCACAGTCGAGCGCAGGCTTCTGGTGGGCAAGCGCGTCAAGCTTGGCTAAGTCTCCTGACTGCACGGCGGAGCCCCAGCCCCCAGCAGACAAGTGACAACAGAGAGGCGGTTGCTGCAAACAGTGGCGGCGGAGAGCATGCGAGCAGAGAAAGTGTTTACAGATCAGACATGGGTGTCAGGACGGGGCAGGCAGGCGCCATGGGGAGCTGGCGCTCACAGCTCGCCGAGTCCACAGGGTGCCCAGGACACACACAGTGCACCAGGCCCAGAATCATCCAGAAAAGGTGAGGAGTTGGGTGAACCTGAGCGCCCCACCCTCGAAGAAGCCGCTTCTTCCCAGTTGTAACAATTACTGGTTAAGTCTGTGGTGCCCAGAAAACAGGGTCCTAGTGGAGCCGCTTCCCGGCGCCTTTCTCTCGCAAGAGCCTAGAGCGTGAAGCGAGAGTCTGAAGCAGAGGTGGTAGGTATAGTGGCGTCCAGGGACGGCCAGGAGCAAGTGAAGAGGAAGGAGCGCAGGTAGGCAGACACAGAGGAGAGACGCAGGGACAGTGGAAACCAGTGACGACATTGCAGATCCAAGCAGCTGAGGGACTGGGGCCTCCGTGCCCACCAGGTGCCCCGAGAAAACAGGGCCAGGGACTGGCAGGTCCTCTGCCACCACCTGATTGCAACAGAGCAGGGACACTGCAGGCACGGGATCTGGGAGCCCCAAGAAGCCCATGCGTGGAGCAATACTTTCTGTGCATACAGATGCCCTTCCATCGCCATGCTATGCGGGTGCATCTGGCCCAAGATGGGGCTATGGATGCATTTGTTTAGCCATGTGATCACGTACTATGTGCCAGGTCCAGGCACTGGACGCGAGGCAGTTGATAAAGCAGACAAGACCCCTGGCCTCCAGGCGCTTATAGTCTGGCGAGGGGTGGTGGGGGGAATTCCACAGACAATAAAGGCCAGCAGAGCAGAGAAGGGAAAACTGTGGACTCCCATGGAGGGCAAGCAGACCGCGGGGAGGGAGTGTCAGGAACGGGGAGGCCCCATGTAAGCCAAGAGCTGCAAGAGGGGAGCGGGGGCGGGGAGGGGGGAGAGGTAGTGAGGAGCTGGCCCAGGACGGCACCCATGGGGCACATTCCCTTATGGGAAATTGATAATCGATGACACATTTAGAAGACTTCTGGCCACTGTGGGTTTGTGCAGGAGGGGGGTACACCAAAAGGGGACACTTCAAGTTACCTCAAATTCTCTTACATAGAACCTCATTCTATACCAAGCATGTCAAACTCGCAGCTGGCGCACGCAGCCCACAATGAATATTTTTGCAGCCTAGCCAATATAACCGTATGTAAGAAACGTTTTAATAAAAATTTCATAACTTCATTTTTACAATATCCTGTTATACATAACTAGAGGCCCGATGCACAAAATTTGTGCAAGGGGCTCGGCCCTCGAAGCCCCAGCTTTGTCTGGAAGGAGGTCGGTCTAATTAGTATATTATGTTTTTATTATTATAGATTATTAATAATGAACTACAACTCTCGCTAATGACTGATTACTATCATCGTGTTGCATTCATTTCCCTTATGCGTATTACGCACAGGCGCACCATTTCTCTCCGCTAATACTAGCCCTGAATATTTTAGTAGTCGATTATGACGTCATTAGTCTTGGACTGACTTGTTTGCTGTGCACAACAGGAAATATTTCACTTTCAAAGAACAAGAAAAATAGGTTTATTTGTGTGACGCTTATTAATCTGTGCAGTTATTCAGTATCTGGTAAGTTAATGTTCAAGAAAAAATATTAATTTTTATTAAAATGTTCTATTATTTTATGTGAACGATGATTCATTTATTTCAGCCCTTTGTATTCAGCATGTCTCTATCGAAATAAACCTACGTTTCTATGAAAGTTGAAGCTTTTGTGCTTTTGCGGCCCACGTAAGCTTAAACCTTGTTTATTTGGCCTGTGTTAGGCTTTGAGTTTGACATGTTTGTTTTAGACCAAGGCTAGACAATGAGGTGTTATGAAGAGAGGAGCATCAGACTTCAAGTATGGAAAAGAAAAAAAAAAAACAGAAAATGGTCTGAACATCCCATTCTAAAATAAGGGGACCACCCGGGGGAAATTTGACAGAGGGCGGAAGTCCTTGAGTACAGCCCTTCTGACGGACAGATGTCACCTTGCTCTCTACAAATGTCACTTTGGATTCTGCAGGGCTAGGGGAGGCAGGGGAACCTACCCACCATCCTCTCCCCTCTCTCTACCTGCCTATCATCTAGCCAATCTATTCACCCATCCATCCATCTAGCTAGCTCTCTACCTATCTACCACTAAAGCTATCACCTATCTATCTACCTATCATTCATCCATCTAATCCAGGGGTCCTCAAACTTTTTAAACAGGGGGCCAGTTCACTGTCCCTCAGACCGTTGGAGGGCCGGACTATAGTTTTTAAAAAAACTATGAACACTGCACATATCTTATTCCTATGCACACTGCACATATCTTATTTTGAAGTAAAAAAACAAAACGGGAACAAATACAATATTTGTATTTGCGTGTGGCCCGCGGGCCGTAGTTTGAGGACCCCTGATCTAATCTATTCATCTATCCATCTTCTAGCTATCTATCTTTCTCCAGCATCTATCTACCTACCCATCATCCATCCATCTTTTTAGAGCAGCGGTCGCCAGCCTTTCAGACCTCACGGACCACCAGTGGTCCGCGGACCACCAGTTGGCGACCGCTGTTTTCGAGCACCCCCCATACTTCTGATGCGAAGCCAAGTTTATTAACCTCTGACCTATGACACAAGCTTCCACTCCATTCACTAAAAGTGCTTGATTGAGCTCAGTAATTCTCAACTGGGGGGACCCCTAGCCCGGGACACTTAGCAATATCTAGAGACATCTTTGGTTGCTATGACTAGTGGGGAGATGCCCCTGGCTCTGAGTGGGCAGAGGCCAGCGATGCTGCTCAATATCCTAGTGCCCAGGATGCCTCAGCACAGAGAATGGTCCAGCCCCAGACGCCCACAGTGCCAAGGGGAGCGTCCCTGCCTTCGACTTAGAAATGACAGGGCATTTGCAAGCTTCAATGTTCCCAAGTGGCCCACATCTCTCTGCTGGATCATCGCTACAAAGAGACAGGGACTTCTAAGTCCTCAGGCAAAGGAAAGGGGGACACATGCCCGTGCACTGAGCAGTCACCTCACCTGCCACCATGGCTTCTCGGCCTCGGCCTCGGCGGGCACCTCGACCCCGTAGACCTGCAGGGCCAGGTGGAGCACCGCCACCGCTATGTGCTGAGCCTGGAACCGGAGGCACAGCCCCCCGCGGTAGCTGTCCCGCAGCAGGGCCCAGGCAGTGACGGAGATGGGGGTCCGTTGCCAGCTGTAAGGATTCAGCCAGTTCTTGAGAGAAATCAGGTAGTGGAGCAGGTACTGCAAAGACACGCCAGTCAGCCTCTTGGCTCGCAGGGCTCTGGCCCCCAGTCACCCGCCTCCTCACTGTGGGGCACTGCACTTCCTCTGCCCGCCAGCCACTCTCCCGGAAGCTGTCTCGATGTACAGTGGGGCCTTGACTTACGAGTGTCCCGACTAATGAGTTTTTTGAGATACCAGCTGTCTCTTGGCCGATTTTTTGCTTTGAGTTGACAGAGTAATTTGAGTTAACGAGTTCCTTAACGAGCTCGGTCTCAGAACGAATTAAACTCGTAAGTCAAGGCCCCACTGTATATAAAATACAGATGGGCCCGAGTCACCTCCTGATCAAACCTTCCAGTGGTGCTCTGTCACTTAGAATAAAGCCCCAGTGCCTTCCGCTGGCATCCGAGCCCGGCCTCCCTCTCGGCCTCCTCGCCCGCACCCCACCTTCCTGCTGTGTTTGACCGCCAGGGGCCTCCACCTCAGGGCCCTGACACCCGCTGCTCCCTCGGCCTGAAATCATCTCCACTCCTGTCCCAGTCCCCACGTGTCCACCCACCACTGTCCCCCAGGCCCCGCTCCCCAAACCTGCCTGGACCACTCTTAATGGCCACCCCGGCGAAATCCCTCTCCATCACATGGCCCTGCTCTGGCCACCGTCAGCATCGCTGCCCCCCCCCCATACCCCCCTCAAACATAAGCCCCGGAGACAGCAACCTCATCTACAGAACAGAGCATGGCGCCCGTGTGCCCAGACGAGACAGGACCCTGCTTTCGGGGGAACTAGAGACAGGTGACTGCATTTTGCAACAGTGCCCATGGCTGTGAGCTCTTCGTCAATGAACTTCCAGCTCAGTTATGTCAGCTCCCGCCCTGACGAGACGGCTGCTTTGCCTGAACCTCCTGCTCAATTGAACACACTAGTAAGCCTTGCCCCCCACATGCGTGGGGCTCCAGCACACCTGGAAGAGGGGCCTCACCCACCGCTTCCCTGACCCCTATGGAAGGATAAGGCACAGCTCGCTCGCAGGTCACACTGGGCTCCCTCCCAGCGGGTGCTATTCTTCCCGGGACTCTGCCCTCTGACTGCCTGGCAGAGCCAGGGGCCCTCCTGCCTTGCCCCTGCATTGAGCCGGCGCCAGGAAAACGCAACTTTCAAAATTGCCGCCAGGGGTTTCCAGGAGTAGGTTGGTGGTGTGGAAGGGAGGGGTGAGATTATAAAAAAGGGCAACATGAGGGATCCTTGAGGTGATAAGAGTTATTTTGTATCTAACTGGGGTGGTGGATGCATGACACACGAGCATAAATTATATTGTATGGCACCAGCGCAGTACAAGTAACCAGGTAACACCAGGAACCAGGGCACTGCAGCCATGCCCACACTCCGGCTGCTACATTGTATTCATTTTACAAAATGTTTCCATTCAGCAAGACTGGGCAAAGTGTCTATCTTAAATGGGGTGTCTCTGTGTTATCTCCAACTGCTTATATATCTACACTTACCTCAATAAAAATTCAATTACAAAGAAACAAAATCC